CGACTATCCCTCATCCAATGCTCCCATCCAAAAGAACCCGTTTCATTTCATGAACAAACTCCTGCATTTGCTCCCTCGAATGCAATGGGGATGGATATACACATGCGCAATCCAGTTCCCCATCTCTTATTGTGTCAAATAGAGCTAGGGATGGGCCTACACCATGAGTTGAACCACATCCAATGAAGTCTTCTAATCCAATTACCTGCTGCAGTTCTTTTGATTGATCAATCATAGAGTCCTCAAACACGGATAATAGTGAGGTCCTGAGTGATGCGGATGGTGTTAAACCCGGGTTATCTATCGCCTGGCACATTAAAAAGTTGAGATCGGCCATATCTGAAAAATGCTTGTTGTTCCTCTTGGCATTTGTAAAAGATGTGTACGTTCGGGTTGCCAGCTTCCACAAATCTTCCCCTCCCTTAACATCATGCGTGTTGAGGATGGCAGAGTGATAAAACCCTGCAATGTTGTGGTTACCAAGGATAATAACATGATATGTGTCAACGACTCAAGGCTTAAGGCTCAATATTAAGATTTGGGGATCTATCATAAAATGTCAACCTTATTAAGAGAAATAGCATAAACTTTTATATGTTGGTCTACATTTTCATTCTTGTTCGATGTAGAATTTATACATTAACATGTCCCCAAAATATAGTGGCTCGTTTGAGCAAATCAATCTTGAAAATCTGCATGTTAATTTTTTGAGTTTTAATTGGATCGAATTACTCGTTGAACTTAATAGATTCTGATACCATATTAAGATTTGGGATTCCATCTTAAGACGTCATCCTTATTAAGAAGAGTAGCACAAGCCTTTATGTGTTAATCTATATTTTCATCTTTACTTGATGTGGATTTATCCCTTAACAAATGTTTCTTAAGAAAAACAAAAGCAGAAAATCCAGTCAACCGGTGGCTAGTTCAACCAGTTCCAAGTTGAACTGCTGTGTTGACCGGGTTACATCCTGATTTCTAAATACATGGACTTTTAGCTATAATCGGACTGGTTTTCAGGCCATTTCCCAATTTTCCAGTTGAACTAACCAGGCTGTATGGTTTTTGAAGCACCGGGTATAATTGTCAACAAAAAAGGAACAAGTACTGCCCTGATGATTTTTTAAGTATAAAATCCCCCCACAGGCTACGCCGAAAAGAAAGGACTCTGGGTCTACCGCTTGATCTTGCTTTCTAAGTGAGGTATACAGATTAAAGAGACATACATTTTAAGTGGAATTTGAATCAAAGGAACTTCTAATAAATTGAATTGCATCAAAATCTCATTAAAATTAATCTGATCTAAACTACCTTCTATTTTTCCAGAAATAAGTTTGTTTATAATTTTCCCTCATTTCTCATTAGAATCCCATCACCTTTCCTCTTGTTTTTATTCATGTTTATTATCATCTTTTTCTATTTGTATGAGAGCCATATTGTGGGCCTGGAGTGAAGGATTCTGAGATGGTGTTTGCATGGAGTTGAATTTCAGTACTCATTTTCCCTAACCTTTTTTCCTGTGAAAATTAATTTTAAAGTTTTACCTAAACCTGAAATGGTCAAGATTACCGCAAAACTAATGTAGATTAAGCTATAGAAAATCCAATAAGACTTACCAATATGGTGGCTACTAAGCACTGGATCAAGAATCGACCGGCAGTCCACAAGCGTTGTAATTGCATACTTTTCCCATTGGTCATCAGGAATGCCATTCAAGGAGCGAGCAGCAATTAATCCAGCAGCCGCTAAAAGCCCACATAACTTTATATCTCTAGATTTGCAACCCTACAAAAGTAGGGGCATCTCAAATACATTATAAGGAATAACTGAATACGTAATGTTAATGCACCAAACAGAAGAAATTATAACAAAACTTGAAACCTCATTTGAAATATGATTAGGCTCCACATAATGAAATAAGCAATCTATCACTTTCATAATTTGCTCTGCAACACTTACATTTGGGTCAAAATAAAGGAACATACTATGCTTAAGCTTACACATATTGCCTTATATGATTATCGGTCAAATGAAAAGTTATTTTATATATCAACCATTTCACCTACTACTCCCAGGTGATTCAATCTTATTATCTGGATTAACTTATTGTCTTCTACCAATCTCATCTTTTACTAAATCGATCCCCTTTGAAGCTACAAAAATATGTGAAGTTGAGCATGTCTGGGAGCAAATCAAAGTTATTCCTACTTCAATTCAAGCATTGGTTCTCCTATCACAATCAATTCCTTTTTCAAATCCTACTGCAGTTGCACGAGCCATTCCCGTGTGCCACAAATGACCTATGGAGAAAACGAATCCTGGAACAAATTGCTTGAAGTCATTCCTACAGGGAGATACAGACCCATTTCATAGTATCTTTTGCTTGTACTAGAGGCTCACTTTAACTTGTGTCCTTTTAGTATATATGCACCAATAGTCTAATAATATAATAAATTCATCTTGAATACGTACTAAAAGGACACTATTTGAAAGAGTGTGTTGGTTCTGGGTTGATTGCCGTCAGTATCCGGGATATTTTTGGTGCATGCCCGGTTACACATGCTTGATGCTACCTTCAGGAAATATGTATATCAAGATAATTTTTGGATGGATTTATTTCATTCCTCTTCCAAGAAGCTATGGATTGGGTTGAATATTGTACAGTGACTGTTGGGTATAAAAGGGGATGCCCAATAAGTCAATTGCATGATTCTACATCAATAAAATCTAAAGTTGAAATATAAAAGGATTCGAACAAAATTCTAAAGTTGCAGAAGCAATGGGAGGAATGACAAATAGTCAACTCAATCGATAAGCTTTAACAGGTTTGACATATATTTAGGTATAGTGTTTAAAGTATTTGCTATGCTGGAATGCACATAACTATGCAACATAAACGACAAATTTTTCAAATGCTTTATTTTATAATCCAGTGATCGCATAATCAAAACATCCTCTGAAAGTTACTAAAGAGAGTATTCATTCAAGAAAATCACATCAAGAATAACTACCCTGTTGTTACTAAAGAGAGCATTCATTCAAGAAAATCACATCAAGAATAACTACCCTGTCACCATTATAAAAATTGCAACTAATGAGAATAAATATCAGTTTATAGAACTAATCAAAACTCACTTACTGATAGAATCATATCTGTTTCTTCTGAATTCAATTGCAACTTCACAACTTGTGAAGCTCTAGGTAACTCAGTATCCTTGAAGCTTAAATTAGCCAACCTGAAAGCATTCAAAGTGTATCCCAACATATCCACCCCTCGAGCCCAAAAAGGCTTATTAGCCTGTCCACTGGGAATGTAATTCTCAATTCCTAAACCAAATTCATTTTCTACCCTTTCCACAGCCAGCGGGACCGCCCCCTCACCGATCATCCCCGACAATCCCCTACGCAATGCCGCCATCGATGTCCTGTCACATACCGATGTGTGCAGCCTGAGGGCCAAAACCCACCTTCCATTTTCTAAAGTGTACAAACTAGCAAAGAAAACCGCAGTTTCTAATGAAGGATCAAGATTTTGCCACGAATTCTTGTTGAGTTCATGTTCAAGAATAAGATGGAACGGAGAAATGGACTGGCTGTTGAGGTGACTACTGTTGGATTGAAGAATCTGGGCCGTTGATGAGAGATCGAAGGTTTGGATTTGTAGCTGGGGAGCTGGGGATATGATGCAGGAGAAAGCACTGGAAGTGGGATCGAAGTGGAGTTGGGAATTGAGGATAGGATGAGCAATTTGGAGTTTGTGAAGGGCACTCTGCAGAAGTGGGATATTTAGGGGCTTTGAGAGGAGCAGGGCCAAAACTGTTATGCCAGTGCCACCAGGCACCGCCTTGCACCAGCTATACTCGGTGCTTCCCACCGGCCGGATTTTGTGCCCCACCGCCTCAATTGGTGATACTTTAGATGTTTCTTGGTCGGACATTGTTTCAAGAATGCGAGTTGCTGTGTCGATGAATTGTGATCAACCTGGTGGCAAATGACAATGGGTTTCTTGGTTTCTTGACAAAGCTTTTGATAAAATATGTAATTAAAATTTTTTATGAAAATGTAAAATTAAAATTAATTATTAATTATTATTTCATATATTTAACAACTTTTAATCCCAGTCAAGCAATTAAGATAAGGTTTTCTGTTCAGTGACTGTAATCGAAAATGTACTATGAAAGGGATAGAGTTTGATGCGTGTTGTTTATTATTTGTTGATGCGTGTTGTTTATTATGTGTTGACGTTAAGCCTATGTTTAGCTACCATTTTTTTTAAAATTTATTTTTAACTAAATATTTTCTTATAAAAAAATTTTATACATAAATTTAATTATTATTATTTTTAAACCATGTTCCTCAACAAAATATTATTTTAAAATACATTTTGACCAAAAAAAAGACAAATAGTGGTCAAATCAATGAGATCCAAAAACATTCTATCTTGTTACTTATTTAATGGGAATGTCTCCTCTAGTTTTTAACATATTAAAAGTAAATACTCGAATGCTTCAAGCACCATGCAATCTTTAGAGTTAATTTAATCAATGATCATTGATTTTTGTTATATGTCATTACTTGCTCAACGAAATTTAAAAAGTAAATCTTTGCTCATTAAATTTTGCTATAATTACTACTTGCTCAACGAAATTTATAAGATTACTTATCGTACACCCAAATTTGAACAAAGTTACACATCAATCACTCATATCATTTCCATGAATATTATCTATTGCAAAGTTTAATAACCAACGAGTAATTTTATTCAAATTTAAATTTGTAATGAGTAAACTTTTAAATTTCGATAAGTAATAACTTATAGGTTTTTATAAGTAATAACAAAGGAAAAAAATCGAGGTAATGAAGCAAGGCTCCTTGTTACGTATAGCAGAAACATAATGACAAGTAGAACATAATATTGGGTGAGCGTTCCATTGCAGTGCCATGTAACCCAAAAATAGAAAAAGAAGCATCCAAGGGGGGAAGAGAGAGGGAGAAACAGATGAACACTGAGAATAATGGAATTGTTACTCAAAGCCATCGATATTAGAATAAATGGCATAAGGCATTTAGCTTATAGTCCAGCAAAAGCACTATCCGTAGTTGTCAATTATCCAGATGATCAAATGGCGACAAAATTCATTTAAACTGCATAATGTTGTGACAGTAAAAGAAAAAATGACAGACTTGCAACTTGAGGGAATCTCCAAATGAAAACCGTAAGTACGCCTCAAAAGGACAAATTACAGCCTCCTTCCCCTTCTGCCACCCTTTCTCCGAGTGCTGTCGGTGGGAATTGGAGTCACATCCTCTGGAAGAAGATCAAATAAGTAATTACCATTAAAATTAATTCAACGAATTAGCAAAAATTTATAAAGCATTTTTACATAAATAAACAAAAAAAAAGTTCAAATAAAAAGAGGAATCAATGTGCAGCATTTGATCATTAATACAAGTAAATCAATGTTAGATATCTACTTTTCCATCCAAAAAGGAGATATAGCCCATGCAAATGTGAACAAATTCACCATTTTGAATAAATTGCATGAATATTGCTTCACAGATTTAATGGAACGATTGCAAATATTACATAGGAAGAGTTATGATCATAGTGCTCACCTATGCGACCAATCTTCATGCCAGAACGTGCAAGGGCTCTAAGTGCAGACTGTGCACCAGGACCAGGGGTCTTAGTTTTGTTCCCACCAGTTGCTCGAAGCTTGATATGAAGGGCATTTATTCCAAGCTCCTGCAAAATTCCAAGCAGTAAAACGGTTGACCACAATCAATCAGAATTGATAAAATTCTGTCGGCGTTGTTACGAAGATAGGAAAGAACCTAAACCTTGCAACGTTGAGAGACATCCTGAGCTGCAAGCATAGCTGCATATGGTGAAGACTCGTCCCTATCAGCCTTCACCTTCATACCACCTGCAATCCCAAGGGAAGGAGATGATTAAGAACAAAAAATACAACCCAAATCATAGCAAAGTCTTCTATAGTTTAGGACATTGCTCAAGTAAACATGTACTTGGTGACAAAACTAAAAGGGTCTTAGTAGCTCTATTGAACATCAGCAGCCATGACCCACAACTCATTATTCCAACTCTTGAAAAACATATCACCCAGGGGATTATATTTTGACAAACATAATCAAAACCAATCAACACGTTGATTTACAGCAAAAGCAATAAAAACCCATAGTATTGAAACCAAAAGCATTAACCATCTACCTGTTATACGAACCATGGTTTCCCTCCCAGATAAATCAGTCACGTGCTGCATGAACAAAGCAAAAGTGAATATTACTTAATAGGACACGTGAAGCAGTTAACTGCTCCCTAAATATGTATGGTAGACATCAATCAGGAATCACAAACTGTAGTACTCACAATGAAGGTGTCGTTGAATGAAGCAAAGATGTGGGCCACACCAAACACTAGTTCACCATCCCTAGTGGCAGGTCCGAGAGTGACATTCTCTTCCTTGGGCTCTCTGGTCCTTCTCTTCGACTATTAAAAATAATAGGATTTTAACAAGATAGAACGAATCTCCAAAACTCATCAATTAAAATCCTAAGATCCAGTTTGTTATATATTAATCACTAGTGATCAGTATATCTTAGAATAGTTGACAAGGTAACAAGAAATTGGGTCCTGTTAAAAAAATAAGAAAAACAAGAGCACTCCAGCACCACAAAAAAAAATAAAAAATAAAAATCATCCTAATCCATCTATAATTTTCAATTTAATAAGATACTAAGATTTTGATGGGGAATAATGTTCGTGACTTGTACTTGTTCTGCAAAAGGTAAGAAATAATAATATCAAAACCTGGTATTGGTAAATTTCACATCATAAAAAACTCAAGGCCCCCACGGATTATTATGAGAAATGATCTCTCCAAAATTATGTTCTAGAAAGAGTCTATGAGAAGGAATTTCACTGTAAAGCCTTTTATATTTATGAGCTCAATAGTGTAACTCATAAAATAATTGGATCAACCAGAATGGGCTCCCTGCCTAAAATAAAGCTTTCTCAAATGAATCAATCTTTCTTAGAGTAAGAATCAAATCAACATCAAACAAATTTACAGAAGCTGAAATAAATGCAAAATCAAATAAACTTCCACAAGTATTAATTGATGATTATTTTTTCGAATCGTAAAAGATTAAACACCAGCAAAATGTTCAGATTTGTATGCAATTAGAATGCTCTCCTCCTATAGTATAAATGTAGAAAAGGAAAATAACATAAAAGAGATAGATACAACATGCATACTATATCTCTGTATTAAAAAGGCGGAGTTTAAGGATCTCACCATGGCTTATGGCAATTGAGGAATTAACTGCCTCTGAAGCTTCAAAAACCTGGTAATGGAAGTGAGAACGTTTCCGATTCGAAATATATATTGCTAGGGTTTTGGACCAGAAGAGGGATTTGATTTACCTTAAATGCCCCTTCATTTTCTTCAAATTGCGGATACGTCCAAAAAAAAAATTCGAAGACGAAAAAGAATCATGGAGTTACAATACGACCCCAAATATCTGAAAATATTCAGTTTAGCCCATTATTTATAAAATCATCTCAAACTCTCAAGTTGGAAACAATTGTACAATAAATAATTAAGGGTGTGTTTGAGCCCCTTTAATTTTTCAAAATATATTGTAGAATAGTAGATTGATGGAAAATGTGTAATTAAAAAAAATGATTTTTGTGTAATATTATTTTAATGAAAAATATATGATTGAAAATGAATATTGTAGAAAAATAGTATGACAGAATGTGATTGAATGGGTGACAAACAGGGGCTAAGTCATAAACAAGTGCCCGTATATGATAGGCGCAGCATATTTGTTATGTTTTATTGTTCTTTGTTATTTGTTAAAAAATTAAAATGCATCCCAAGATTATATTAATTTTTATTCAATATGGTGTGACATCTCTAAATTAATATTTCAATAATTAATTACCTATGAAATTTATGAAAACTATTTTATAGGCATAATTGAATATTTTTATTATCTAATAATAATTTTACAAAGCATTAAAAATTCAGTTAGCATAATCCCGTTGGAACATTTGATGGTTCCTTACATAGTTATTAGACCTAACCGACCATCAACCTGGTCAAGGCACTCGGTCTCGGGTTACTGGTCGAATTGGTGGGTTAGTGACTAGATCGGTGGATCAATGCTTAATAATTATAAAATATTTTTTAAATTATAAAGTTTTTCTTAGATAAAAAAAAAATTAAATTATCTATCATTAATTATTTATATATTATTTTGTTAAATATTCAATTCATTTTAATCAAAATAGTTACTATAATTTTTTAAAAATATTTTTAACAAACTAAAAAAGATTTACATATATATAATTATTGCAAATACATAACAATAAATAATTGATCTCTAGTGGTACTCATTAACCTAGAGGTTTAAGGTTCAAGTCCTTTTGAGAACAAAAAATTTATAGACAAGCTTTTAAATCTTGGTCAAACTAGTCAACTGGCCGAATTAATATAAAAATCGTCGATTAACTCGATTTTTACCTAGTCAGCTACATATTGTGAATAATTTAAATGTACATAATTATTGCAAATACATAACAAAAAACAATTGATTTCTAGTGGTTAGGTGATACTCACTTTACCTAGAGGTTTAAAGTTCAAGTCTTTTGTAAACAAAAAATTTATGGACAAACTTTTAAATTGTGGTCAAACTAGTCAACCGATCGAGTTAATATATAAATTGTCGGTTAACTCGGCCAATTCTATTTTTGACCGAGTCAGTTGCATCTCTATAAAAATGTTTTGGGCCCGGGTCACCAATTTCCGAGTCAAGCTCTATAACTATGGTTCCTTGTGTTGGGACTTTTGACAGTTGCAATTGCTCGCGTCGTCCATTTGACAAGGGTGTGATGTAGGATTCCTTGTTTTGTGAAAACAAATTTCAAGTCTTTTGAGTATAGTTAAGTGAGAAGAAGATTTCATTTTGGAAAGAAATGACTAGCTATAATTGGGGTAGCTGAAGTTTGGAGACCGTTGGCGATTTCAAATTCATAAATTTAGCCATTGTTTTATTTTGATTATTGGATATCACTTTCCTTCCACACTCATATATTAACCTTACATCTTTTTAAATAGTAATAATAATAATGTTTCTCTCATTTTCTTATAATTTTCCAGTACTTTTTATTCATATAGTCACCGAAAAATACTTCCCGAAGAATCAAAATCAAATAAGTGATTGATTTTATCTTAACGGTATTCTCATATTCCTTGTATTTCATTTTTAATTTGAGATATGTATCAACATGTCATTTGGAGATGTAAACCTAGCTCATTGATAACTTAACAAATAAAATAGTGAAAATTACAGCGTAGTGTGTATTTTAAAATGAGAATTCTAAAATCAAGTATTAAGTTTACTATAACAAGGGTATCAATAAAAATTAAAATTACTCTCTCTCTCTCTCTTTGAATCTTTACTGCCGGCCATTTTGAGACCATCAGCGATTTGACCATGGGATATCACCAAGGGAGATCACCGGCGAGGATGAAGAGAACATTGGGCAGGTTCTTCCCAACTAAACCTGTCTCATTCCTTAAATCTTGTACTGCCTCCACAATTCTATCCCAGATCACACACTGTCGATTACTACCCAGAGCCGACACCCTCCTTTGCATCAAATCTACATCAAATGAGGGTAGGGTTAATTGTTGCGTGGCGCTCAACTAAGTGCTGCTCGACGGTGATAGGTTCATCGCTTGAGTTTCAACAGTGATGGGGGTAATGGTAGTGGTTTGGGCAACTAATTGTGATTTGGCCAACTAATTGAGTTTTAGCCGTAAATGGAGTTGTAGATGTAAGGGATTTTCATTTTCGATCAATTGAGTTTCCGTAAACAAATCTCTTAAATATGTGACCTGTCAAAGTGCCTAGGTCACGACTTCAAAAGATTTGGTCACAAGTAATTGGATCAAGTCATAGGTTACAGATTCAAGCGATTTGGTTACTTGCCATGGGATCAAGTCACCGTCACATGCAATATGACATATGTTAAAGTGCATAGGTCATGGATCACGAATTTGAAAGATTTGTTGACGGGCCATTAAAATTAGGTCGTAGGTCATGTGTCAAGTGCAAAGGTCACGGGTCATGGATTCAAGATATTTGGTCACATGTCACTGATCCAAGAGATTTAGCTATAAGCCATTGGATTAGTCACAAGTTATATGTGAAAGTGAATAGGTCACATGTTACAAATTCAAGAAATCTGATTACATGTCATTAATTTCTCAAACCTCAGTTATTCAAACCGGTCACAAATTCAATTAAACAAATTATAATAGTAAGAATTCAAGTTATTTGCTCTGGTAAGTACTCTATGAATTAAATGGGGAGCTGTATTCAATTTTCAATTTGCCGATGGGGTGAATGTCTACAAGTGGATATAGACGGCTGGGGTGGGTGACGGTTATTTGGTGGGGGCAGGTAGATTAATTTAATTTGATAATATTATTATTTAAAATTAAAACGGAATTAACATCCGACTTTTGCATTTTAAAATTTAATGTCTAAAAATTGATTTGTTTCATCTCAATACCTGTCTTATGATTTTTTCCACATAGTAGTGTATAAGACTAAATTAGCATGATTAAGACTTTATGACTATTTAAAAGTATGTATTTGTATTAACAAATATTTTTCATATTTTTTTTTTAAGTAAGTGCTTTAAAAATTAATAACCTACATTAGTCCCTGCTTGATGCCCATTAAAAGGATCATTTTGAAAAAAGTAACGGTGGCAATGGGCTAAGCCGGCTTAAACACACGAGCCAAGCTTGTGCTCGTCTCGTTGCTTGAGGGGCGAGCTCGGCTTGCGAGCTTATCAATTTTTATTTTTTTTAATTTAAATAGATAAAAAAAATTTTGGGACCCGCTACTTAAATTTTGAGTAACTGGAGTTAAAAATTGAACACAAACGATTTGTGGGTTGTAACATGTACAATTTTTTAAAAAAATTAAAATTAGTCTTATAAAATAACAAATTCTGATTAATATGATTAAAATTGCATTAAATATCACTTATGACTTATCTAACGACATGTAATTTCGACAAAATAAAATTTATTTTGTAGTCGAAAATGAGCGTCATTTCAACCTTTCAGGCGCATTATTAATGCTTCCATAATACTTGTTGCCAATTTATGTGGGTTGTGGCATACAATAAATTGGAAACTGAAAAATTCCAATATGTGGCATACGATAAATTGGAACAGTAAGAAAATTGTAATTGTGTAAAGCAGAAGAAGTGAAGAACTAATCATTTGAAGATGAAAATGGGTGAGCCTTGTAGGGGTATTTATAAACAAATGTTTTGAAGAAAAAATTGTGGCCAAAATTCGGCCACCGTAGCACACGAGCCAAGCTTGTGGCTCTTGTCTCACAAGCCCACGAGCCAAAGCTTGGCTCGTGGGCTCACGGATGAACGGCACACTCGGGCTCGTGACGAGCACGATTTTGACAAGCCGACAAGTCGCTGGGTCCGTTTGGCATCCCTAGGAAAAAGTGAGTTATGGAATAAAGATTTTTGAGGGAATGTATGGATAAAAAGTAGGAAAAGAATTTGAATTTATGTAAAAAAAAATATTCTATTGTGAGAATATATGGTTGAAAATGAGTTTTGGGGGGGGGGGGGGGGGGGAAGAGTTTTTGGAGAATTATAGATGAACTGAGACTTAATTTAGAAATATAAGTCTGTAAATATTAAAAAGCATCAACATTATGAGCCATCATCCTAAAGCAACCACCCTCCTGTACGCCTATAGTCGGGACTAATCTTGTCTACCGTAGACTTGCTCACCCAGGCCCAATGCAACCTACTTTTTTAGCATGGCAAAGAAATCTTTAGGCAGGGCCAAGCCAAACTTTTTTAGGTGTAGAGAAGAAATTGTCTTTAACCTTGCACATACGAAATTGTCAAAATGCCCACACTTAGTAGTGTCGAAAACCCATTTGTTTTTACAATAAAGCCACAAGTACAAATAAAAAAAATTTAACAAAGTTTGTACCGAAACTGACATGACAAAATGTAAGTTCACTATTTTTTTCCATCTTTCAATGATGCCTCGTCATATGTTCTCTATTAAAAATTTCTGTCAAAAAATTTTGTACTTATAACATGATTATTGTTTTTATTTATCAAAGTGCATCATCCTTCATCCAAATGTTAAAAGCATTAGAAAGAGATTTCACAAGGTTCTTACAAGACATGCAAACCTCGTTTGCATACACCTTTCAATGAACAATGGTTCCATCACAGAACTATGCCATGATATTATTTTTACCTTCACAAAATCAAAACATTTTATTGTAAAACTACTAAGCAGCGAAAGATAATATAATTTCACCACCTAACGAGTCAAGTTCTGTCAAAGACTAAGCAAAAATGAATTAAAGAAAAGTATAAATATCTAATCAGATCTTAACATGCCAGAGGATTAGAACTTTAGCTCTCTACACTTTGCATTCGGTCTGTACAACAATTTTTAACTTGGAAAATCTGCCACAATTCACACAACTCGGAGCAGCAGAACCAACTACGAGAGTTGTAATCATGTCACAAGTCATAAGACATCCATGTGCTCTTCTTTGACAAGACCCTTTCTTTTATGCATCCGGGTTCTGTACAAAGGAGGAGCAAGCTTCAAGCTTGGGAAGAAGGCTTCGCCACGCTTCGGCTATACTTTTTGCTAGGTTTGCTTGACCCTTGGCAAATTCATGAAATGCGACACCCATATCAATAGTTTTTTGTTCTTGAAATCGAGCAATCTCTTGATTCATTAACTTCACAATTGTCTCAAATTTTCTTTTCAACTCCTTGCCGTCAGCTTTTAGCTGTATCACACAATCAATATCAGCTGGACAAAGAAGATTTTAGAAAGTTGAAGAAAATGCCAATGTAAAACCAACCTGCTCATATTCGCGCTCAGCATCTGCCAACTTCTCTGATCGGGTCAACCTGAGTTTGTTTCTGTGAACAAATACATAAACATTTTTGGCTTTACAAAATTGAAATTATTTTAAAAACATGAACAACTGAATTTATTTCTTCATATTTTTGACTTTACAAAATTGAGAGAACTTCAAAGAAAAATCTCACGTTATTGTTTTAGACATGCTTCAGCATTTTTGCTTAATGATAGTTAAATGAAAAGTCATATCAAAACCTGTGTAACTGCTCTTGAATATATTATAATTTAGGGTACCAATAGGTTGAACAAATATCAATTCCTGATGTGAAACGTGAATCACGAACTGCTCCATTGTGGTAATTTATAGGAAAATATATTAAAGGTAGGAAACATTTCTGATGTATAAAATAAAATGCAACTTTCCCGAATTCGCACTGTAGATTTTCCGAAAAATAGAGCAATGTGAGAATAGCACACACCATTGAAGGGCAAAAACATAAGAAATGTTGCTAGTTATATCCAAAACCAAACAAATGGAACTACATACAAAACCAAGTGAAGCAAACTGAAGGGAGTTGTTGTCAGAGCATGATTGCGACCATAATAATCAAGAGAATCAGAGAGTAAAAACCATACAGATCTATTTCCTTAAACTTGATTGTTTCAGCCAGTTCACAGTGGTTCCTGAAAGCGATTGCTCTCTCTGCTATTGTGGCCTATCTCAGAAACAAAAGAAGATCCATCAGCTTCCAAAAAAATTACTAAGGAAAAAGAAACAAAAATGGTGATGGATAATACTTGTACACATGAGATGATATTGATAATCTATCATCATTACCTTTTCAGCAAGCCAATCATCTTTGGTTTTCTTATTTCCATTGAATAATAATTTCATATACTCGTTTTAAATCAATATTAATTCTTAACACGGTAAATTCTCATAGAAGAAATCCATCGAATTCAGTGAATGATGACAACAAATTTATTTTCTTATCAATTAAGCCATAAAACTCACCTTAATAGACTGCACAGCGCGAACATAATCTTTCAAAGGTTCTTCAAAACTCATCAAAAGGTGGTGAGCCTAACAGCACGACAAAGGACAGATATAATTACACATTTACACTACTCATTGGCTTAGGAAATCTTTAAAACGCTGAACTAAAATGGATGATTAAGAACTGGTTAATCTTAAATGCATAATTTACCTCTCTCTGCAGCTTAATTGACAACATCTCCGATTTAGCCCCAAGCTCAGAAAATGCCTTTCCAAGAGAATTTCCTTCACAGGTTCCAAGGAGTTTGACTGCCTTACCAAAGTCTGATAAAGATTGACCTAACTCTGTATTTCATGTAGAAAGCCTGGTATTAGAGACTAAGTTGTTCAAGCATATAGATATATAAAGGGTGAACCCAAAGAAAAACGATGACAGTGAACAAGAAATGTGATATGATCCATTGATTCTGCAAAAAACTTTAAATGTAGGGAGGAAAAGAAAGGTGAAAAAAACAAAGGAATTAATAATTCAAAAATAAGGCATATGGATAATTAGTATCCAAAGTTAGAAATACCTCTGTGTCTCTTCACAAGGCGATATGCATGCTTCTGAGCTTCAGCTAAGTGATCTTCAAGCTGAAAAATGTAATTCTTTTGTTTCTCGTAGTCCGGATTTGATTCTTCAACTGGTTTTTCCTTTCCCAGAACAACATCACTCACTTTAGATTGTACGTCCTGCCAAAATAAAAGCAAAATAAGACAAAAGTCCTTTTTCAAAGGATACTTGGCCAACAGGCATGACTGTGAACTTGCTGAAGAAAATGATTACAAAGCTCAATATTAAACAGATTATGAAAATATCATCAGCAGAGTCAGGCCAATTTGACCAATCAGGTCAAGGTAGCAATCGAACAAGAATTATTGGTACTGTAATCTCAACCATAAGGGTCTCCAGACAGTGGGATATAGTTCACATTTCTTAATGAGAAAAAGATTTAAACTCCGTGTCAAAGTGTACATGGTATTCTTTTGCACATATAAAAAAAAAAATAGATCTCAAGATGTTGATTAGTATCTCTTCAAAATCACACTTTTGAATTGATAACAGGCAAAATCATTTATAGAGTTGCTAAAGCCCCCCTTTGGTCAGAGCAAGAACAAGGTGACTACTATAGTTTTTAAGGCGTTTGTGCAATTGACTTGTTGGTTGGCTTAACCACTCTATCCGTCGGCGGAGATGGATACTACTAAACCTCAAACTAATATCTCTTTCCCCTGATTTTGCCAACTACAACATTCACTATTTCCAGTTAAATAACTTTCTTAGCCAGGTGAGGAGTCACCTTGAATATTTGCATAAAGTCTGCTGGCTTCTTCTTGAAAATGCCAGTTTCCTGAGATCTCTCTCTTTCCATCGTCTGTAAATCAGGAAAAAATAACACAAGCAATCAGATGTACAAAGTTGTAAACAAACAAATCCAGAAAATGAGAAGGAAAAAATATTTTCAGCTGTCATTATAGTTGTGCATCAATGGCAACTGAAACACACCAGCAAAAGCTGGGAAGTAATTCAAATCATCCTATTCTATGATATAAAAGTTGTAACATATTATTCGGGCTGTTTGAGATAAATGTCACTATGAACAATAGCTAAGTATAAATCCACATGATAGTTTCACTTTCCAATTTGCATGCAAGGAGAAGCTTATTTTGTCCAGAAGTAGAATTCTGTTCAAACAATTTTTGAACCAGCATAATGTCCACCAACTCAGCTTTAATAGAAACCCTAATTTCATTGAACGTGTAATTTCCCCTAATAGCACATCAAGTGTGTCATGTCCCGCAATACTCGAGCCACATATGACCTTCCTCTTTATAGTCTAGAACATAATTTGCTTCACCTCTGAGTAATGCCACTTCAAGTTAAACATTTAAATTGATATTTCTCAGCTCAAAAATGGTTTAAAAAAAAAATTCCACCATATTTAATAAGATCAAACAGTTCATTCCAATTCAAAAGTGTGCGACAGGTAGATTAAGCCACCAAAAAGAGATATACTACCTGTTCATCCTCCAGTAAAAAGGTTCTCAAGTCCTCACTCTGCTGAAGCTCATGATGTGAGGCTACGCGGTTGACAAATACATCCAACGCTTGACGCCTCATTTCAATGAATTCAGCACTAAATCTGAACTTCTCTGTATAAGAAATCAATGTTAGACACCTCGAAGTTTCAAAAAGCTTCCAAATTATGCAACGTCTTCCACCTCAAATCAGCTTCACACCACGGATAGCTGCTTTGAATAATTGCATGCACTCACAAAAAAATTTAACAAATGCATCCAGACATGTGGTTCCATGGACAGAAAGTTATAGGTCATATTTGAATTCTATATAGCGGGGTGTCAAAAATGAGCTGATATGTTTGACCACATGGATACAAAATAACAGACGTTAGAGAAACTCAAATATGTGAAACAATGATTTGATTGTCTCTATCCTTTCCCTCTTTTATTAAGAAAGGTTATTATTAAATACCTAAAATAATCAGCTCTTCAATTGCTGTGGTGAAGGGAGAGGAGAAATTTAATTATTACCTACAGTGCTCTTCTCTGGAAGAGGAGGTATGAAGATACCCTTGTACTTTTCAAAAAGGCGATCACGTAACCAAACAAAATCACTATATCGTCGAATCACAATTTTCTCAGGGCCCTGATATTCGGGAAAATTTGTCTGCCAAAATAAGTTCCAAAAATTCATCAATATAAGTCCAATGATATGGACTTGAAATTAGGTTGCANGGAAGATAAATGATGGACTGCTCAGTTTTACAGATCATGTTGTGTAATTCTTATGGTCTATGATGATCGCAGATAAATCTTTCCAGAAACTAAGAACATGCAAACTTTCAGAAAATAACATTTGCAAATAATATAATACTCAGAAAATCTGTACCTTCAAGAGAAACCAAGGATAACTGATTACACGTGTTAACAAGATTTCAAAATATTTTTGTTGGCTACAAATTTTTCAGATAATCATTTTCCACATAAATTGGTCTTCGTGCAAGTCCAATCATCTTAGACTAAACAATGAGATAATGTGTAACTGTTCTTTTATTCATCTGTTTACTTTATACTACTTTTACAATTAGCTTGAGATCACGTTCAAAGATCTAGGATGCTATAACACTATGATATAATAGCATATGGTGGTTCTAACTTCTTCCTCACAAAAAACTTCCGTTCAAAATCATCACCAAATGACCTTATAAATCATTTTCCATTTTTTTATTAATTCCATTAAGAACTATTATTTTCACAATCACCGAAGAATTAGCCTTATCACTTGAAGGGTCATCCTTCACATTTAATGAGTGCACAGTACCAGTTGTTCAGCCTCCATTATCTTATCCTATTGTGGAAGAGTGCAAGAACATTATACAAATGCTAGATAATTTATGAAAACTGATTTTACCCACCATTTTATGTTGACAAGTTCCTTCCATCTCAGGATGATGTGATAACAATCTATGAGTGCATCCGAGAGAGAGAGAGAGAGAGAGAGAGTTGTCTTTGGAAAATGAGCCTAATATCACTAAAAAAGAGTATTGTCAACTCTACAGAGTGGCAATCTTCAATTTCTGACATTACAGACACAACTGAAAGAACTATAATAAAATAGCATGAATTGCCCAAAGATACTTCTTAAATTTGTCTCAACAACACTTAAATTAGGTCGCAGTCGAGTTTGAAATAGAAAACCTCAAGTAGTCAAAAGTATTAAGCGAAATTTGTTGCCTAAAATGGATGGAGAATCTATTATCTAAGGTACCCGATGCAACAAGAAATGGGTGTTTATAGTACATTGATGACCAGTTGGTTCACTAAATAAGAAAAGAAATACAGGCACAACTACACCCTAACTGAACCTAACACCAAACTATTGACGATGGCTTTGTTCATTTACAGCCTAGGTAAACTAACGTTTGACCAATTGAGCTCGATACAATTGGGCTCCAACTCAGCTTGACGAGTCATAAAACAGCTAAAAGATGGCCTAACTGAGCTACTGGCTAAATTCATTTGTAATCCTACCTAACCAATATATTTAAGAAGTTATTGCAATAAATAAGGTTAAAAAGCACATCACTTATCTTGTTGACAGAAGTTAAAATGAAACCATACTGTCAATCATCAAATACTCTTAAACTCTCACAAACCTGTCTGTAAATATGGCATCAAATCTTAGTTTTCAAACAACACTATATCACTTTTGCCATGAAATGTTTCAAATAATCTGACTCTCACAATCGTGTCTGTAAATATAGCACCAAATCTTAGCTTTCAAACAACTCTAGATAACCTTGCCATGAAATCTCAATGTCTAGAAATGAGATTTAAGAATGGTGATGATTGGCACAATTAACATCTAAGGCGACTAATTAAAATTCATCTATTACTTTTCCACCAAAGTCGATCCCCCAAATTCCAGAATAAACACCTTCAAATAAAAATTATGACGCCTTTCATTACCAATCCTATTTGTATCCTTCTTAATAGCCGTACTTTTATCTTCCACAGTAAGAACAGTCTTCTTCAAACCTTTAATTAGCTGGTATAATACAAAAACAATTGTGTTCAGGAAGTAGATATTCACATGCAAGTTAACCTACTCAGAAGTTTTATGAAAATTGAATCTCGAATATACTCCATAGCAGGTATTGCCAATATACAATTTTGTAGATATATTTATAAATTAAGGATCTCTTGCAGTTAAGACTACCAATTGCACATTTGGGATCATCTCAACCTTTTCAAGTCCTTGCCGTTACCCAGCTAACTTAATAGAGCTATTACTAACAGTAGATTAGCATTGAGTTATTTGCGGTGTTGAGATTTTCATACATGTCTAGCCTAGTTTTCAGTAATTCTCCAGTGGGCATATATGGCAGCACATCTAGTTTAATTATATAACTTGATAAAATACATTAATCCACATTTTTTTAAGCCATTGGTTCATTACAATGATATTTCAAGGTGATGTGTCCAATTGTGTAAAAAACAATTTAGGAAAATTGCTTCACTTGCATACCACACAAATTACTCTGTATCATTGTCAAGAACATTAAAGTTACTTGTCCAGTGAAGTGAAGGAGGTTAAGATTCACAAACAATACTCTGACCCTTCGAGCAAGATAAAGAATGAATTTCAACCTAGGAAAGCCGGTTGAGTGTGAAGTGTAAATAAGACTTATGTATTAACACCCTGGTTAAAATACACAAAAACCTCTGCACCATGTTGCTCATCGATTATCAACTGTCCAACATCCGTGAAGATTCCAGAAGAGACTCTTAGACTTTACCTTGATTTAGTATTGGATGACTGCAAAAGCAAATTTATTTTTGTTCATGTCATCTTGTTTGCCTACGAAGACTACATAAATCCCGGCTTATGGGCTCTCTCTTAAAATATAAGGTAAAAACATATAAAGGTCCAGCAATTACAGCAACAGTCCTATTTATCAAAACCAACAGCAAATGCCATTTCCTATTCCAGTAAATATTTCAGCTCAAAGAAAGCAAAATATAATTAAAAACCCAAATTACATTCAAGCCCCAATTAATCAATCCTGAAAAATTGCTAATTGTGCATGCATACTCACAGAAACACATAAACAGTACCTTGGTGATAACTTTGTAGGAGATATAAGCCTGGACGCCATTGCCCATTTTAGCTGGATCAGTGACTGATACCGTTAAATACGGCGCTTGTGACGTTGGAGATCTAGGGCTTTGCGCCATTGAATCCGATCCACTTCTCTGCAGCGCATTCATCTTAATTCAAGAATTCAAGAAAAAATACATTTTTTTATCTGATTGTACAATCAAATTATCAAATCAAAGGACTCATATTTGAAATATTATTGAATAAATAGTTAAAAAAAGGAGAATTAAGAGAGAGGTAGCATATCAGTTATTACCGTTTAATTAGGGATCGATAATGGCCTCGCGAGAACTCTTTCGCCAGTACGCTAACGTGCACCTAGGGAAAGGCTTACTGGGAAGGGGAGACTTGTATATTTACTCAGGGCCGGATGAAATCGTGGGGTCCGAGGCTAAGTCCAAAAGTTGTGGCCCCAAAATCAACTTAAGTCAAAATTCTACTATATAATATACAATCAATTGCTAACTTAAAACTTAACGTTAAAGACACTTACAAAATATCTCAATTATGGGAGGATTCTTTTATGTTAATTAGTGGGTTTTACCAAAAAATAAAAAGAAAAAAAAAAGGGAAAAAAAGTTTGGGCCCCCTTGAAGAGCTAGGCATGAGGCAACGACGTGTTGAGCCGATGCTCAGATCCGACTCTGTATTTACTAGCGGGGCACTGCAGGTTTTCCCATTGTCCCACCAATTGACAATTCAATTTATCTTCTTTATTTTAATAGCTCCTGTTGAGCTCAATTAAAACGTGTTTTGGGGAAAAAATGCATTCTGAAATTTTATTTATTTATTTATTTTTTTTTTTGAGGAATACATGATTTAAAAAAATTCAATTTAACTTGTAATGTGGTTAAAAAAAAAAGAGAAAAATGTAATTTGTTTAAAATGTAGCCCAAACGAGGGCATATAGCTCCCATTTGGGCCCATTCTCCTTTTCATTCTTTTTCATTCTTTTATTTTTAGGGCAACTTACAAAAATACCTTTAAAATTAGATGTTTTTTGAAAAATCATATGAAAAGTTTTTTGAAAGTAAAAAATACTGCCTAAAATTAAAAAATGACACAATGTCACTTTTTACTCTTTTTTTTTTTTTTATAAAAATTGTCTCTTTTCTTAAAAAAATAAAAATAAAAAGTGACACAATGTCACTTTTAAAAGTATAATGTCACATTTTTATTAAAAAATGACATGTAATCTCATTTTTATTAAAAAGTGATGTTTGTTACTAAAAAAATGTAATAAAAATTTCAAGACAATTGAAAAAAGTGACAAATTCAAAAAAAGTAACAACTACTTAAAAAAGTGACAAAAATTCAAAAAGTGTCAGAAATTTAAAAGAAAAAAGTGACACTTTGCCACATTCTCCTTGAATAAATGCCTTGCATGCATCAAATTAATTGATTCAAAGTTTTTCCTTTTTATATGTATAAAACAAGACTTGAATTTGTATGTTCAATGCACACTTATGCATCTTGTTAAATGTTCAAATGATATATTGTGACTTTTATTTAAAAAGTAACAGAATGTCACTTTTTCACATTCCCATTTCATCAAACACATTGTATGTATTAGTTTAATTGATTCAAAACTAATTTTTCATATGTATTGACACAATCAATTTTCACAAAGGTCTTATCACTATAATGCTAAAAAATATCTCATTTTTCTATTGAGAAATAAAATGTAGATTTTCAGCCAAAATTTAGCTAAAATACCTAAGATTTTTCTCTGCAAAAACTCATGCCCATTCCAGACGTTGAAGGAAAATTAGTATTCCTTCACCATTCACGTCTCTTCATCGACATTTTCATAGTTATCATGCTTATGTCAATGCCTATTATGTTACAAAATAACACTTGCCCTGTTAGCTCCCATTCATTGTAAATCCTTGTTTTTTGGTTTGAGGGTTTCATGCTTAATCCACCAGTGCCACTACCACTGCCTCACCACCTCCCAAACTTATTGTCACAATTTCTCAAGCTTTAGACTGCTCATTGTAAAGGAAAGTACAATTCTCACCATACGGACATCCTTCCTTTGTATAGAATTTCTATCAATGCCTCCATATATAACACATTTGTGCATCCTTGCCATTTGCTATAATCGGAATCAGAAACTCCTCCCTCAACTTTGATGACACTCCTCGTTCTTCGTGATTTCTGGTGGTGCTTGTGCAACCAATTCTTGATAGTGGGAAGCAAAACATAGATTCGTGGTGGGAGTTACGGGATTTCTAGTTTTGCGGGGTTTGTAAGGTTATAGGGTTTGAACGTAATTAATACGGTAGTTAGGATTTTAATTAGTTTTAGGGGGTATTTTCTAATTTGTTATTTTTTGAGGGTACCCTGCCTAATTTTCCCTTATTTTTAACCACACAATTTTCTATTAAATAATATTACACGCAAATCAAAAAAATTCTTTCTTTTTTAACTACACATTTTTCAAAAAAAATATTCTAAATATTAAAATTTGGAAAGAATGGGAGCCAAACGAGGGCATATTTCCACCACAAATTTTTACTATGTCATTTTACCCATGTTTGAACCCCTTTTTTTCAAAATTTATTTTTCTTCAAACTCATTTTCAATTGCACGTTTTTCAATATAATAATTTTATACGTGAATCATATTTGTATTTTTTTATTTTTTAACCATATATTCTCCAAAAACACATTATTATAAAATCTATTTTCCCCAATAAAATAAGGCTTAAACAATTATAATAAAACATTTTAATAGATTATTTATATTCATATCATAATTTTTATTTAGGCGCTTTTTTATTAGGGATATTTTCCGTGGAATTTTTTTCATTTTCAAACTTGTGTTGTTTGATAGTAAAAGTTTTAATTCATTTTCCATCTTTTCCCTCACACATGTGCATTTTCCATGAATTTGCGGAAAATCAATTCTCACCAAAACGGTGAGAATTGGTTTTCCAACCTTAAAAAAAAAAAAAATCTTTTTAATTAACAATTTTCTTAACAAATAAAGCCAAACGAACATAAAAAAAAAAATCCAAAATTTCAATATTTGCAAAGTGGAAAATTATACTTATCAAACACATTAATTGACAATTCTCAGAAAAAACAAGTTCTAGGCAATTCAATTTCCTGGAATTCGTTTTCTTTTCATCTAAATTCCATCATTGCAATCATACGAACCTTTACTTACATTACATTTTAATTATATTTAGAGTCGCTAATTTTCCTCAGGGTAACATTTAAATCCCTAACTTTATTTTCTTTAATTTTTTATTTGCAACTTTTCATTAATGAACACATATCGTCCTTGAAGACTACTTTCTATATATATATATATATAAAAGAGAGAAGGATAATTGGCAATTTGGCACCCAACGTCTCCTATCCTTTGCCTATTTTGCACAAATCGTTCATATCATTTTAATTTTGACATTTAAGCCCTCATATTGATAAAACCTCGCACGAAAATTTCTTACTATTCATTTCTTTTGTCAAAGCCGTATAAAAGGTTAATTGGCACAAATACCTCTTACATTAGCTTGTATTGTGGAACACTTCCTATCCTTTTATTTTGGTGCAAAACCGCCCAGGCTGGTCTAAACTTTGCGCAATACCCCCACGTCCAATTCCTTGAGTTTAGCCGTTAAATCAACTTAAAGGGATCAAAATTAAAAATTTCTCAAATGGCAATACTGTATTTCACTTCCTTCTCATATGTCCCCATTAAATTTCATTTCATTTTTCTATATCTTATTTTTACTAACACAATCTTTCATAAAATGATATTATACGTAAATCGAAAACTTTTCCATCTTTTTCAACCACTCATTTTTTTAAAAAAATACTATTCCATCCATTTTAATTTCAAAAAATGGGGGACAAACGGGGGCTTAAGGCGTTGTTTGTTTGATGATAACCAAAAGGGAAGAAACGAACAGTCATTTGCGAGAAGAATCTACACAAATATATTTTTATCGACCATTAAAGTTTCAAGAATGAAGAGACTTGAATCGACAAAAAAAAAAAAACAATATGAATAATCCATTTACAATAATAAACACACGATCGAAGACACAATCAAAAATCACCTATGATTTTTGCTGTTTTGTTCACTGAAGACTGTCATCACATCGTTCTACTATCTTTTTGCAAAAGTAAGTTCAAATTTCAACATTTCTAGTTCGATTTTTAGAAGAAAAGGTTAATTAATGATATGGGTTTGTGAAATAAGTTGATTGTTGACAATCTTGAATTTCTATCTTATATGCAGTAGCCTCATGTGTTAGAAAGAATATTTGCTGCTACAATAAAATTTTTTGGAGATGAGGCTTCGAAATATGGTTAGTTTCTGTTTATGCGTCTAGAATTAGTTGGTACGAACAACCTATTACCCGTTGTTGATCCATTTTTTGTTTCTTACATGTATACTTGTTGATTGTAGTGGGTTTTGATATAGTTTTAGTTCCATAATGTGTATTAATTTGTAAAAAGGGTTTTGATCATGCTGTGCTGTACAGTTATAATATTATCATAAATGTCGAAATAATATTTTTCATCTAGAACTACCTCACAATTTCAGTTCACAATGGGGAGTACTGTTCGATAAGCTGAATTATGTGACATGTGAACATGGTACAGTGATGTTCATGGACTATGTAAAGCCACAAGGGATATGCTTAAAGCATTTTCGTGTTGTATATGAGGTTTGTGGACCTTGGAGTTATACTTCAGGAGGCAGAAATGTAATCATTCCTGAGCATAGTTCATTTAGCGCGTTTTTAATCAATTTGACTGCAATTTAACCTGGGTTTAGTTCATTTGCTCATTTCCAATCAAATTTGACTAAAATTTCATCCAGGTTCAGTTTATAGGCTCGTTTTCAATAAAATTTGACTAAAATTTCATCAAGGTTTAATTATTCGACATGTTTCTGTTCAGACCTGACTAAAGTTTCACTTGAATTTTGTTGGTTGGAGCGTGTCCAATCAAATTTGACCAAAATTTCATTTTGATTTTGTTCATTAGCGCGTTTCCAATCAAATTTGAATAAAATAACGCATGGGTTTAGTTCATTGGTATGTTTCTCATCAAATTTGACTAAAATTACATACGAGTTTGGTTGATTGGCACGTTTTCAATTAAATTTGATTAAAATTTTTCCTGGGTTTAGCTCATTGTCGTGTTTCCAATAAAATTTAACTAAAATTTCACCTGAGGTTAGTTCATTGACGCATTTCCAATCAAATTTGACTATAGGTTGGTGGAGATATACGGGTAGCACCTTACCAACCAGATGCACTTCCAAATGAACCGCGTGGAGAACTTATGATTGATGATCTCGGGATTAGTTGAGGTTAAGGGGCTGGGTGAAGAATGCTATATTCTGATACTGGATGAATGTGAAGATGG